TGCCGGATGGGAAATGATATGTAGAAAATGAGGCAAAAAAAAAAAACACAACAACAACATATAAGTATATGCATGTATACATGTGTATATGTGATGATCTGTGCTTTCTAACTGACTATCTATGTGAAGTGTCTTAGCGCTGGCCATGACAGTCAGAATATGAATATCTCTTTAGGCAAAGTTGCATATAAACAACATATGGTCGATACGAGATATGACCTTTTTCCGATATGCACTCACACGTATACCTATATATGTATGTATGGGTTGTATATGWTTATATGCACACACAGCTCATAGTACTGTCCAGCCCATTTTGTAGTGAAATTTAATCAAGCGTTTAATGCCAAGGTGGAACGTCAGAGAATATAATACAGAGGGCCAGGCCATTCGCTGGCAGCGAGGGCGTTTTTGACTCGTTTCTACTATGCTGACGCTGATGCTGAGCAGAGCAGAGCAGAGCCCAGCGAAGCTAAACCGAGAAGAACCCTGTCTGGGTTGATCTCTGCCTCAGTCTGTGCCTGTGCCTGGGACTGTGGCCATGTCTGCTTGATGCCTGTCAGATGTCAGTCTGTGCCTGGTGGGAGCGTCTCTCACCTACGACGCTGGTTAATGACATTKTGAGTTAATTGCTGCTGCTGCGGCTGCCATATGGGTATACGGTCAGGGCATCGGATCTGGCAATACGGTAAATGAATATGCGTATAGCTGCCCAAGTGATGGCATTTCCAGGCAACGTAATTTGACTACATATGCGTACATCAATATCAAATTGGGGGAGGCAACATATACATACAGCATATGTATGTATGTATGTGCAATGAGGCCTCGCCAGATGATCGATTCCTGATGATCCGTTAACTTAAGATCTTAAGTACAATTTTGCTTCTTTCTTTTTGGGCTGCAGCTGAAATATGAGAACTTTACACATTTATCCAAATTAATAAACACGTGTTAACATTTTTTTTTTTTACAAACTTTATGTAACGTTTTCGGGTAAGGACTTAAAACAACTTTCAAAGTGAAATTCAAGCACACCTTAATTCCTTTTTTTCCCAAAGCGATATAAAATTGAGTACTAAATATTAAAAGCTCATCAATTGTTTATTTATTTATCAGTGATAGTAGCAAATATATAAAATAGGCAATGAAGACAATCGTTGGAATACAATGTGATTGATAAAGAAGCAAAAAGTGCTCGAGTGTCAAAAATTCGATAAGAAAAAGTGATATATATGCGATATATATATGTAATTGTACGTATGTCTAAAAACAAAATTGTCGTATGTTTAGTGAAGCTTATAGACGATAGCTAAATTGGAGAAAAGTCTGATATAATATATAATAGATATAATAACGTATAATGGTATACTCATATTACTAAGAGCGTTGCGAATCGAAAGAAACTTTTTATTTTGATATATCGTTGCGATTTTCTTAGTCTAGAATATAAGTACTACATATATACATATGAAATGACAGATCGAAATTGAGAGCGTTGGAAATTGGAAAGGGCATTGGTTTTTTATATATGTTTGAAGTAGAAACCCCGTACTTTGTATACTATTTGAGCTGGCATTTCCATATTTACCAGATAAGCTCTCGTTGAATATATATAATTTTTTAGATTTCAAAGTTTAAGTTTAACTCATTCACTACTTCAAAACCGGGAGACATATTTCGGACTTTGGATATTTTCTTGCAGAGACTTTTGTTATGGCAAGTTTATACATGGGGATGTCATTATAAAGCTCTGATTATTTTATTAAGATAGTACATATACAACCAAATTGATTGATATACTAAATTTAAATATATAATATACTTTACTTATATG